AGGGAAACAGGGTCTTGCTCAGATTTAGCTCTCTGCTCATCTCAGAGCTACTCTCAGCTTGGGTAGCTTGCTTTCTGTAGCACTATCTTTAACTTCATTCCCCAAGAGACTGTGATCACATATCTTTCTTGCATACGAAGTAGAAGTCTGCTGACTTCATCTAGGTGACTCTCCGGTTTCCCGCCTGTTAAGACTTCCAGCCCTTCCTTTGGGAGTGCCCAAGCCCAGTTAGTTTTTCCCATCAGGAAACCTCTCCCAACTTCCAGCTTAAAATTTCTTTTTAACTTTTGGTGACATTGCTCTTGGTGTTGTTACTTGCAAAGTGATAGGAAAGCTATCTGCAGTGAGTTTGCTCCTCCCTTTCCTCCAGGAGAGGCTGACAGATCTTCAGCAGCTCATTCAGATGGGTCTGTGCTAAGTAAAGGTCTGTGTTAATACTATACACTCTCAGGGTGTTAGCAATGCCACGGTGGTCGTGGTTGGCATAGGCAGAAATTTGGTGCAATTGTGACATTTCTACAGAAGCAGAAAATAGCACATGGGTTCAAAGGAAGTTGCCTGTGGATGAGAGTTCAGGCACAGCTTAATCTTCCAAGTCAATGCAATAAGCAAAGCTACGAGGTCTCAAATAGAAAAGAAACAGACAGATGCCACTGTAGAAAGAAGGTAAAATAGTTATGCTCCTTATATCCTAATTTTTAAGGTAGGTCTCAGTGTGAGTGGCACAAATGACAATATAGAGAGTACCACCCCATCCTTCCTCTCTCCCAAAAGACACTTAGCAAACATGGTGACTAAACACTAGCAGTTGATGCACAACCTTTCCTCCATCAGCAGTCACCTCTCTCAACAGTAGAAACTGATAGTGCAAATGTCATTTGTCATCCATTAAGTGGATTGATCCTTCAGAATAACTAAGTATCATAAATAAATAAGAATATAGGAATCAGGGTTGTATGAAGGTCTCATACAGGTTGGTAGGTGTCTTGTTGCTGATCATTATGTTTGAACGCTGGAACAATTTGCAGAGGTTTTTCATTTCCAGTGCCATCTGTGTTTCATATTCTCTTGTGTGGCTCTTTAAAATCTAGTTACCTTTTGATATGACTCATGGTGTGGTAAGTCACATTTAACTTTGTTTAGGATTTGATTACTGTGTATTGATGTCTGTATCTGAAGTGCATCCTGCCGCAGCAGAAGGTTTATGTATGGAGGAAGAGAAATGTAGTGCAGTGCCTAGGAGGAAAAGCAGTACTTAGACAAAATGGGTACTTTTTTATAAATTTATTTTGTAGAGATTTGTTAAAACATTTCTCTTCCTCCCACTCAACTGGTGTTCAACAAACTGTACACTAGCTAAGGACAGCACCCGTTGCAGATGTTGTTACTATTTTAGTATTGCTTAGATGTTCTAACAGATACACTGCTCTGCAGTTCTTTAAAATGGAAGTTGCAAACCTACTATAAGCATGAAATGTAAGTGTGAGATATGGCCATTTACTATCAGTATGATGTGAAGCTAATTTTACTTTAAACTCAGTTCAAGACAAAATGTATTTTTCCTTCTTTTTGCAAGTGCAGAAATTATATGTTAATTATTGTATCATGAGTCTCCAGGCTCTGCTTTCAAAAGGAAGCTAATTATTTCATCCTGCTGCATGGCGATTCACACATAATTTTGTCTGGATAGCACAGTTACCTGAACCAAACCAAGCACAATAGCTCTGTTTTGAGAGAAATTCCATGTACCTTGTTACAAGTTGATGCTGATGCTCTGTCTCTGTTTCTTTCCCAGGATGATCCTCTCACTAATCTAAACACAGCTTTTGATGTGGCTGAGAAATATCTGGATATTCCCAAGATGCTGGATGCAGAAGGTAAAGTAGAACCCAGTGGCTTTTAACTTGCTTTTTCTCAAGAAATTTCCCACTTCTTCTAGGTGGACTTGTATTGTACGAGAATTCAGTAACCTCTGAATGCTGCCTCCATCACCATGTACTAAATGTATAAGGGAAAGGTTACAGTGGAATAATGAATCACATGTTCTGCTTCCCTCTTCCTCCTGTGCCCCTCAGTCCTCCAAGTCTGGTGTGGAGATCTTAACCTGGTGTTGACGCACTAAGCAGAGATGAGTAAGACCTGGCTATGTCCATTGCTGACAGAAGTGTTCCCTTTCAAGAACTGGGCTTAATACTGAGTTAGTGTATGGTGTAGGACTACATTTCTTTTGCTCCAGAATGTTTGGTTTTTTTTTTTTCTGGGCTCTTTCTGACATTGCTGGTGATCTTCCTGTTGGGGCCATGATATTAGTACTATAAATTGCTGCTTCTTGACTACTCAGAAGTGCTGAGCATGAAGATACCTCACTGACAGGGTCTGGAGACCAAGGCAGAGATCTGTGTTGCTCGGAGGTGCTTTTGCTACTGACTGTGGCTGCTTCCTGGGGGCCATTGGGACAGCAAGGACTACTTTTCAGAGCCTTGTCAGGAGCAGCTTGGCAATAGACTTTGAAGACTGTAGCTCTGGAGTACAAACAACAGCCTGAAATAGTTCACTGGTTGTTGGCTGTTTGCCTGAAGCCAGCTGGTTTCAATGGTAGAAGCTGTATTTCAGGCTTGGTTGGGACCAGAGCAGCAGTTAAAGGCTTTTCTTAAATAAGGGAGGGAAAGTGGGGATAAGACAACAAGGGGGAAAGGTGGGGGGATAAGACAACTGAACCCGGTGAACCTGTATTTGGATAACTAGGATGTTCACATCCTTAAGTAGTCTTTCCCATCCCCAGCGACGCATCTTGCTTTCCCTGCATTCATCATGCTGAGGTCACAAAAAATCATGAGGTTTCTAGAGTAGATTCAAGTGCTTCTTGCCGTTCTATAGGAACTATAGAACCTCCAAAAAAAGTGGATCTAGCTTCAGATCTCAGCAAAGCCAGCAGTGATGAAGAGGGCCCCTTGCAGGAGGTCCCATTGCTTGGATTTCCTGATCACTCTCCTCCCTCATGGAGTGGAGCTAATGTGCATTCCTCCACACCATTAATTCTGATTTCTGGAGGTGTCGGGTTTCCCCTGAAACTAATGAAAGGGCCTTTTGAAATTCAAGCCATCATTGTGTTGAAATGGAGGATGGGGGTATGGAAAGGAAGGAGGAAAGGATCTTTCCTGCAGAACTGCATGGAGGAATTGCAGTGTAATACTTCTATAAAAGCCATGTCAGCCTGCTGCTAGTTTGGATTGATTCAACCCACTGTTCACAGTCATTTTCTCAGGATGGGGAAGTGCTGTGAGACGAGACGTACTGACATACGGCTGCATTAGCCTGGCCAGACCCTGGAAGCAATTTTGTCATGCGGGAGGGGAACCAGGAGGGTGATCCTGGCTTCTGAGAGAGACGCATCTTCTGGGGAATGCTGGGAAGCCCTGTGGAGTTGCTATGACAAGCATATACCCCAGCGGGCCTCCTGGACAGTTGTGGTTTTCCTTCTCCTTTGCTTTCCTTCCATCAGTTGATTATGCTCTTAACGTGAGGTTTTTTTTGACAGACATTGTTGGAACTGCCCGTCCTGACGAGAAAGCCATCATGACCTATGTTTCTAGCTTCTACCACGCCTTCTCAGGAGCCCAGAAGGTATCACAGGATCCCAAGCTCCCTCCACAGAGTCCACCTGGTGCCGTTGCTAATGTCCAAACCTTTTTTTCTTTCTCTCTCTCCTCTCTAGCTACGGGCATCTTTATTATTATGTTCTTGGTAGAGTTGGCTGTTGGTTTAAAGTGGTGCCCCAGACATAATATGTGGGGCAAGGGAGCCAGGAGTCCCATTTCCCTGTAGTCAGTGGTACTTCCATGGCACTTGGGTATGCCAGCACCTTGGCACACACACAAATCTGAGGGAATGGGGAGCTCTGCCTTCTCTATTTGCCTTCTGAACTGCTGCCCTGGCAGCTGAGGCCCTGCACCCCCTGTTCCTGGGAAATCTGAGCTAGGATGCTCGATCTCACAAAGGTGGAGACCACCACATAGATGCTCTGCTCAGCAGGACACTGCAGCCTGCCCCCATTGGAAATGATGCTCATACCTATTCACTTTTTTTTTTCTTTTTCAAAGATGGAGAAACAGAGCTGTCTTAGTGGTTTTATGAAGGGTTCAGTGAATACCCAAAGCTTTATCTTTTACCTTACGCATGCTGCAGGTTCCTGCACCCTTGCTTCAGGGTCTGAACCTGCTGCTTTCTCAAGGTGTGCCACAAATGCAGTCCCAGTTCACCTGGGGCTTACGAAGCATGTCTAACGAGTACATCCGTGGTTATTTTGCAAACAGAGCATTGCTTATCATGACTGAGATGGCTGGTTTTGTTAATTTGTTTCTTTTTATCCTCTTTTCTCACCTACCATGCTGGAAATTGGGCAGCCGAGTCCTTGCTGTGTCTGGCTTAGCCATTTTCCTGTTGGTAATGGAGCCACTTAAGGAAAACATTTTGTGGGTGAAACCTCACCAAAACCAAGCAGCCGCCTGTAGTTCAGGGCCATAGGAACAGGCAGTGCGCGTTGCAGCAGAGCAGATGCAGTGTAGGAAGTGCACTGCGTGGGAAGGCTCTGATCTCCAGCTCCTCGGTGTGCAGAAAGGCCTCGAGCACGGGTGTTCAAACCCCCAGACAGCCTGTTTGCATCCTTGGGCCAGGCGCCCGGACCTCAGCTGTGAAGGTGAAGAGCCTGGATCCTCAGCTTGGGATCCCCCTGGATGGAGTGAGGGGGTGGGAGGGAGGGGTGCCACTTTGAGCCACAAGCCAACGCTGCTAGCCACCTTCTGATCCGAATTCCCAGCTCTCCGCATGGAAATCTGTTTGGCCTGTCCTGCAATGCATGATGGGAAGTTTTCTCCCCCTCTCACGCCACCCGTGACTGTTTTGTTTTATTCTATGTGCTGCTTCTTACTTTATCCTTTCAACCTCTTTTCCTTCTCTGCACAGATATTATAGGCACGCTAAGGCCGGATGAGAAGGCCATAATGACCTATGTCTCATGTTACTACCACGCCTTCTCAGGGGCGCAGAAGGTGAGACTTTACCGCTAACAACCCCCTCCCCTCTCCCTGCCCTGCCCACCACTCCTCTCCACTGAGGAGCGTGCCCCCCCGTCCGCCCCAGAGCATTTGCAGGGAAGCCCAACGCATCCAGCGACGCACTTGGATGTGCCATCAGTAGTCTTGCTGGAGAAGTGATGTAAATGTCCTTTCAAACAGACTTGAGCTGGTCCTTTCCTCCAGTTTCACACCCCAGTGGTGGAGAATGCATTCAGTAAAGCTGGCGTTGGCAGATGAATGAATATCTGCTCTGACAGAGCCTTTCAGTGGCTAGTGGGCATCATCCTGGCCAGGCAATGCGCCTCCAGAAGTACCAGAATCAGGTCAGCCTACTCCAGGAAATCACAGCCTGTCCCTCTTGAGCTGCCATCCTGCCTCCACACTCAGCCCCCTCTAGGTCAGTGGTCTTTTCCTAGGCTGAGTCGTCTGTGAGCTGGGTACATGGCACTTTTGTGCTCCAGCCAAAAAGTCCATTCCTACCAGGCCTTGAGCTTTCCCAGACTCACATGCCTTCTTCATTCCTTGCTTCTCCGTGGTCATTCTCCTCTGTTTCCCAAACCACCTATATGTTTTATTTCTCTTTCCTCTACTTTGCCCATTTCCATAGCTTCAGTCCTTCTTCCTCTGCTTCCTCTTTGCCTGACATCAGGACATTTGTCCTCAGAGGAACCACATAGTCACAGTTCACCTTTGGACAAACTTCCTCCAAACCAGCAATTTCCCTGCAATCTTTTGAATAGAAGAAAAAAGGTCCGTCCTTTCCTCCCATGCTGTAGCCTGGCTGGGCTGCAGCCTCTCCACAAGATTACTGCTAATTTCAGATTGTAGGCTTTGGAACAACTAAATCCGAAGTTCAAGACTGCATTCTTCATGTTACAAACAGATGTAAAGTCTCCCTGTTTCCCCAGCCACAACTTCTTTCTCTCACTAGTCGCCTTTTCCATTTGAGACACAGTCCATGTGTTGCCCAGCCCGAGGGCTAACTTGACTCCAGGAAGAGCCCATCTCTTTTGTACAAAGCAGCGCTGATGGTCGCAGCATTGATGCAGATATCATACTGATGCTGGCTTTCAGAGGCCAAACATAGGCAGTAGGTTCCAAGGAGCAGCTCTTTAGCTCAAGCTATTTGTTCTTTGCCCTGTTTCATATAAATCACATGTTGCTGTCATGTTTCCAAGGAACTCGGAATGTGTCCCACAGCAGTGCAGTAGACTTGCCTGTTTGGCATAATTTGTGGAGTCATGACTTTTCTGCTAGGATCCTGCTCTGTGAATAGTTCAAAACCCTTAAGAACAGGCTGCAAGCTCTGGCCAGCTGATACTTGCCCAGGAAGACTGTAGTCTCAGAACTCATGCCAGCCCTGTGATAGGGCTTGCTGTTTGCTAGGTGCCCTGGAGGGACTGCTCCATCCTGTCTGCTTAACCCAAAGAACTCCAGATTGAGGAAACAGCAAACCACAACATGAAGACAGTTGTGGCCTGCTGCAAGAGCAGCTGTGCCCCTCGACAATACCTTCCTCTTCTTTCTGGGCCAATTCCACAATTTGGAAACCTGATCAACAGGTCCCGTTCTCTCATCAGCAATCTGTGTGGATGTTAGGTCTCCTGGGATAACAGAAAACCACCTTTTACTGCCTCAGGACCTGAACCAAGTAGCTGGGGCAAGAACTAGAGATGGAGCTTCTTAGTTATTAAAACTTCAGTCCCATGTTGCCTAACTGGTTTATAGGGAAGATTAAAGATTTAATCATGTATTAATTTTTTAGCAGTCCTAATGGGCCAGCAATTCAACTGTGCCCTGGCAGGAGGGGCACAGCTCCTTTTTGGAGCTGCCCTAACTGTACGTTAGCCAGCTGCTGAATGACACAGATGCAAAGCCCCAGGCAAATGCAAAGTGATTACTGAGTGCAAGCCCCAGCCCAGACTGTAATGTGTTGCTGCCTCATGCACGGTTAGGTGACTTACTGTGATATCGCTCCATTTTTCATTCAGATTTTTCATTACTGCCACCAGTCCTGAAGGGGAAGTCCCATGAGCCGCTTTCTGCTTCTTTCACTCTCTTATACTGAGCCTTTGAAGGTACAGGGTCCCCAGCCTGATGTGTGTGTAGATGGCTGCTTTTTCTTTATGCCATTTTTTAATATACATATATATTTGTAGGTATACTTGCTTTGGTTGGTTTGCTTGTTTTCTAACCGCTTCTGACTTCACACTAAATGCATGCAACTACCTGTTGGCTTAATATTTTGTAAACTTTATTTCTGGGCTGAAAATTTCTAACTAATATTTTACCATTTTATTAAGAGATTGTTTTTGGCACACAGTACTCTGGAGTGGTCCTCTGGGGCCAGAGGACAGCAACAGGCAGGCATCTTCCCTACAAAGCACACTGTGGGAATGCCTTCCTGTATCATCCTCCTCAGTGACAAGACTTGGATCCATGAGCTAGAGAGACAACTAACTCCATTTCCATCCTAATCAGTGCAAGTCAGGGTGGAAAAGTACAGAAAAGACAAAAGGCAGAGAAATTACTGCTGCTTTGGCTATTCTTTGGTAATTCAGATTTCTGTTCTGAGTCCAGCAAACAGCACGTGAGTGTCACACAGCAGTATGGTATCAAGCAGAATGCCCTGGACTTGCCCTCCCCAGTCTCTGAGTGCAGTTAGTATAATGTGTTAGCACACCGCTGCACTGAAGCAGCTCACACAGGTTCTCTGAGAATACAGATATGGACCATCCAGACCCCAGGATGGTGCATCTTCTCAGTCCTGCTCCATGCCTTGTGGACACCCTGGCTTGTTTGGAGCCAGCGTGAGCATCTTAAATGCATCATTGCCTTCAGCGTGTGGGGAAGCCAAAATGGCTTTTTCCACTCCACTAGTGAAGGTGTAGGGGACCTGCCTTTGCCTCACGTAAACATCGTGGTGCGCCACTCTTCTTTTATGTGAAGGTGTTTCACTGAGGTGGCCGTCACCACAAATCAGCTCACTAGTAGCAGTGTGGGACGTATTTGTGGAGGTTACCCAAAAGCACTGGGGATCCTTTTGTCCTGCCTTGCTCAGAGCAAGTCAGTGTAACATATTGCTCGTGACATTAATGGTGACAGTGGCCACAGGTTCCTGCTGCTGCAGCAGCACGCTGTGGCACAGAGCAGTCTGGAGTAGGCAAGAACCGTAGGGAAGCAAGTACTGGTAGGGGAGGGAAAGCCTCTACACTTCAGCTGTTAGAACAATACAAATAAAGTAGTAATTGCTGACATTCAGAGGGCTTTTGTGTTTGGACAGATGTTCAACACACATATATACATACACACATATTTAAAAACTTGCACAGCTGGAGGAAATCTATTGTCAGATACATGTAAACATGCCTACATGAAATGGGGTCCCTCCTACACAGCTGGCTGCTGCTGCAGTGAGCTCCTGGAGTGTAAAAAAATAAAGTTTAGAGTGCACAGGGAGCTCCTCTCCTGGGATGATTGAGATAAACATTTGGCACCACCAGTTCCCTGCAGTCACTAGGCACATCATGGTAGGGCTCTGGCAATGTCTTTTTGACATGCTATTTGGTCACACGTCCATAAAGCTTTCTCTGGATATCAAAAAGCACTCCATTAAAGTACAAACTTTAGTTAAAAACAGATCAAAGTACAAGCTTTCTTAAATATAACCATCAATTGCACTTTCTGCAGATTTTTTTTTTTAAGTTGAATTGTTCTTTCTCCTGTACAGGTACCTCTGATGTGTTTTAAATTAGTTAATATCTGTGTATCTGCTAGCTGGCCCACTTTTGTGAAGGAAGAGATGACAATGTATGTTTTTATGGCTTCTTACAAATGAATAAGATTGCCAGATCCCCTGGGACCTTAGCAATCCATACATCACTGAACAGCCTATGACTTTACTGCTATTCTTGCTGCCTTGCATCAGCTGAAATAATTAGAGGATTTTTCTCAAATGGCCTTGGAGATTGAATAAACAGATAATAAAAGGCCTTTTAAAAATAGAAAAAGGTTGAAACTTGCCAGCTATAAGCTCAGCACAACTGCTTTTGGCCTCAGTCCCACACATAGTTTTAAGGCAGGGCACAGCATTCGCAATTGGTCTGTTGTAGTGTTGGCATATGCCCTCTCCATCTCCACTTAGCCTCTGTAAGGAGGACTACTCCATAGGGGTCCTGTGGGTAGCTCTAGCACCTTCCCCAGGCACCAGGGTGATAGCTGTACTGTGGTAAGAGGGTGCTGAGCAGTCCCCTGATGCCCATCTCTGAGGCTTTGTGGCATGGCACCTGCCATGATAATGATAAAGGGAACTGATATCCACAGATACATGCTGTGCAAGGATCAGCCTGCTGTATGTTCCCCCCTGTCAGACACACGCATGGCACTCCAGGGCAGCCTGACTCCTCCTGAGTTCATAGCTGGGATTTTTCTGATCCTTTCTTTGTGCCAAATTCATGTTTTAACATGTTCGGCTCCCTGCAGAGAAGAAGGTTTTGGTCCCACAATGGCAAAAAAAAAAAACCAAAACTAAATAGTAACAACAGGCTCTTTTTTAGTGAGACTTGTTTTGGGAAAGTAAGCAGAAAGATTACCCAGAAAGGGAGGAAAAAAAATCCTCTTCTCAGCTGGATCATGAGACCCTGGATACATGGTAGGTGTCATGTGGCAAGATGCTGGAGGAGGTGGCCCTATCATGAGTGCCAGAAATACAGGGAAAGCTGGAAGAGAGGTCTGCTGAGCAGAATTTAAGGTTAAGAGGAGTATCTACCACTTTATCTTCTGAACAGAATTAGGAATTTTCCAAGGTCCATGGATTAAGTCTGTTTAGGTAGTTCTTTCCTGGGGTAAAAGCATGTAGAGACTCTTATCAGCTTGACACCACTGAGTTACTGATGTTGCCCTCTGAATACTGGTGAGAGGAGTGAGATGGTGGCAGAAACTCCCTCTCTTTGTAAAGAGGCAGCCATGGGCTCTCTGGTAGGAAGCAAACAGGGCCCTCTTGTAGGAGCAGCTTCAGAAAAGGCATTGAAATGTGGTTGTCTCACAACACGTAGGGTGGGATCAGTAGAGGTGAGAATCTCCAAAGGAATGTATTCACCTGAGAAGGGAAAAATAAATTATTATAGAAAGTCAGATGAAAGCAAAGAGGTCAGGATGGACATTTCAAAGCACAGATAGGTTGCTAGAGCCAAGGGTAGGAGGCTTTACCCACAGGTATGTAGCAGGAAGCTAAGCTGCAAGGTTTGGTTTTGGGGTTTTTTTTTTCACATTTTTCCCTTCGGTTTTCTTCTCTTCATCAGGCGGAGACAGCAGCAAATCGTATCTGCAAGGTGCTGGCAGTCAACCAAGAAAATGAACAGCTCATGGAAGACTACGAAAAACTGGCCAGTGATGTAGGTGTCCATGGTGCTGTTGGTTTCTGGGTGGTGGTATGTGGAAAGGAATTGCATTTAATGCTGACAGCTAATCTTGGGGAATGCTATTGGCCCATGTTTCCCTGGAAAATTGTTGTTTCCACTTCTAGCTTGAGAAAAATGAAAGATCAAACCTACTTTAAAGGCAAGAGCAATCTACTTTAAAACAGAAAGCTTCAACAGAGCAGCTTTGAGTTTCTCAGTTCATTAAGAGCAGTCGCAGAAATGCTGAAATTAAAGGAAAAATCAAACTGGTTTAACTTGCACTCCTGAGGACTACACAACTTCATAACACCTTTCATACAAATTGTATGCTGATATACTGCAGAAGTCAGGAATTGGATCAGACAGAATGGAAGCTAGAGATAATTGAGGAAATAAATATGCATTTGCTGATAGTTGGAAAGAATCGGTGTAAGATAGAAGCTGGAGGGTGCTTTGGTTGACTGAGAAGGCTGACAGACTGACAGCTGTGAAACTAGAGAAGTGACTAAATGTGGACCGGAGTGTGTTTGTGGAAGATAAGTTAGCGAGGGGAAGATGGAGAACAAAAGGGCAAACATAGACCGTGAGCCTGGTTTCAGCCTGGTCTGAAAAGTATAGAACGCTATTCCACTCGCACTGTAGACTGCCCATTGCATTATAATTTTGACAGCTCCCCAAGCAGGTTTGCTAAGGGGGGCTATTCCAAGAGCAACACTGACTTCAGGGAAGCTAGAGTGGGAAAAGTGTAGCTGGAGGCAATAACTTGATTTCTCCTGCCAGACCCTTCTTGAGATAATATGACTTACAGCATTCTTTAGTTAGGCAACTACCCAGCAAGCTCTACGGCTTTAACATAGTCTGAGGACATAGTTTGGTCCTGATTGTGTGAAAGCTATGCCTTAAGCTTGTTGGATTGGCTGTGCTGCAACCAGCAGTACTACTTAGTGTGGTAGGGAATGGGCTGCTCATTCAAAAAAAAAAATGTTAAAAAGTGCTTTCAAATAAGATGACAAGCTTTTCTTTACAAGCCCTGCTGGTGGCAGAATCTTTCTGACAGCAAACATAAAAGTAAACACTCCCTAATGAGATCAGAGCAACACCTGTAGTTTTAACACAATTTTTAGTTCAAGTCTTCGTGTCATTCCTCTTCCCAGCTGCTGGAGTGGATCCGTCGCACCATCCCCTGGCTGGAGAACCGGGCCCCAGAGAACACCATGCAAGCCATGCAGCAGAAACTGGAGGACTTCCGGGACTACCGCCGCCTGCACAAGCCCCCCAAGGTCCAAGAGAAGTGCCAACTTGAGATCAATTTCAACACCTTGCAGACCAAGCTGCGGCTCAGCAACAGGCCAGCGTTCATGCCTTCAGAAGGGAAAATGGTCTCGGTGAGTGGGGGTCACTGCTTGTATATACCCCAACCATGCCTAAGAAGTGGGGCTCCTTTTCTGCCCATGTGTCAACAGAGCATGCCCCACCTTCAGAATGAGCTACTCTGTGGTAAAAACCCTACAGAATATAGTTCAGGGAAGCCATAATAAGAGAGGATCAAATGATCATTGTTTCCCCTGTATCTAAACCAGACTCTGAGGCTCTTCACAAGTTGCACACCTTTATGAGGAGATGTCTAGGTGCCTCTCAATTTTTCTAATTGAAAAATCTTTGGGTTTTGTTGAAGTTTCATGTGGGGAAGTGTTTCAAGAGGGACTGTTGTGCAGACAGGTATATCCTAACACTAATAGTCCTGCTTATCTTAAGTCTGGCACTTTGTTTTTCTGACCTGTCTGCACAGCCCTGTGAGATTAAAAGCCCACATCCACTCCCTCCAACCAGCTGGAGCCATGTAGCTCATGGAGACTAATGCTGACGTACATCTTCCCCCCTATCTCCTAACCTGCCTTTTCTTCTTGTGCTCGTGTCTCTAGGATATAAACAATGCCTGGGGTGGCCTAGAGCAGGCTGAGAAGGGCTATGAGGAGTGGTTGTTGAATGAGATCCGGAGGCTAGAGAGGCTGGATCACCTGGCAGAGAAGTTCCGGCAGAAGGCATCCATTCATGAGTCCTGGACAGATGGTAATGTCAACCTGTGTGCTTCCTATTGCCTGACAGTGCTGTCCGTTATGTAGGGAGGAAGAGATGGATCGTGCATAGGTCCTTCCATGAGATTTTCCTCTTGAGAATGCTAGCTTCATTTCTTATTTTATTAGAAAATAATGCGTGGAAATCGGCTTGATCTTGTTTCTGCTACATCATGCAGCCACATTGGCATTTCCCTAACTGTTGCAAAGTGAGAACTTTGGATAGAAAAGAGCTACAAAGCAGAGGAAAAGTTACCGTACAGTAAATGCCACAGTTGGCATTTACAGGACCAGCATAGCCCAGTTAGCATGTACTGAGACAAGTCCAGTATAAACTGTGACAGCACTGGCTTGAGCTGCACTGTGTGCCCTTCTCTGTTGTTAATGGCAAACTCACACTCCATGGTTTGAAAGTGAGGCCAGCACATGAGGGCAAGTTTTGGGCAGAGTGTCTGGAGTGAAGCAAATGCCTTTTTGAGGGCCTCTGTGGCGGGGAGCTGGCTTTGGGGGCATTGGGTCCTGTCCTTCATTCTCCTGTCCTTTGGCTCCCTCCCCAGGTAAGGAAGCAATGCTGCAGCAGAAGGATTACGAAACTGCTACCCTCTCGGAGATAAAGGCCCTGCTGAAGAAACACGAGGCCTTTGAGAGCGACCTGGCTGCACACCAGGACCGCGTGGAACAGATTGCTGCTATTGCACAAGAGCTGAAGTACGGCACCCCAGCACACATCCCATCCTTGGGGCCAGAGAGGCTCAGTCAGCTTTGCCCTCTGGAGAGACACAATCAATCCCCATACAAAAATGCTGAGAAGTCCCAGTGTTTCCAAACAGTATCTAGGATACTGCTCTCCAGTATCCGGACCCACCAGAAGAGCAGGCCAGAAAATGGATGAGTCGTGGGTGCTGATGAGGGGGCGGCAGAATTACATTCCCCAGCCAAGTTTCCATTCTCTTCCAGCTCGTTACGCTGCTGTGAACCCTTTCCTAAAGAGTCTGACCTGCCACTGGCACCTGCTAGGTTTCAGACTTGTAATGCTGTCATACTTTGCCACGAACAGAAGGAAACAGCAGAGGATAGAAGTCTTTCAGTTTGCTCCCTTTTATAAAAAAAAAAAATCCTCCTTATTCTGGCAGGAAAAAAATCTGCATCGTGGCCTCTGCTGCCACCCCATGCCCTTTGCCCCAGGAGTACATCTCCATGTGGACTCTGGCCAGCACTTGCTCCATGGTATCCCCACAGTAGCCCAGCTCCCTCCCTGCTTCCTCTGACTTGGAAACCTTCACCTCCACTCCTTTTCCTGGAGTGACGGGTGATGCAGGTTACCAGGAGAAATAGGGTCTCCTCAGCGTGGGAAGTTGATTGCTAGGGATAGCAGGCAGGTAAAGAGCTGGCCTCTGCAGCACAGGGAGAAAGATTTTGAAACACTGCATGTTTCTTGGCAAAAACAGTCTGAACAACTTGGCTTTGACTTTATTTCCTATTTTAAAAATATTTATATATCACGCTGGCCTATCTCAAGTTAGTGTCTGGGCTACGATCAGTACTCTTGGGCTGAAGGACTGTTTTTCTCTTAAAAAAAATCAGGATTATTGGATCAAGACCATTATCTCCTTTAACAACAAAGATTTACAGAATTGCTCCCTTGTCCACTGGAGGATTGACCTTGGAACAGGAGGAGGGTTCAAGGCAATCCTCCATGTCAGTAAGATTAAAACCGAGGCTGGCTAGTCAGCAAGCATTAGCTGACCTGCCACTTCCAAAGCATGTGCTACATGTCAGCCAAAGCAGCTGCGGCTCTAAGAGCAACAGGGAAAGCTGGGCCCTAAGCTGGGGGGAAGTGGTTTCTTCCAAAGTGTGAGAACAGCGGGCTCTGCCATCCTTCCAAAAGCCATCTTTCATCTCAGCAAAGAGGCCATGCCCTGAAAAACCACGGCTGAGCTCTTTTGTCCCCCAGAGATACACTGCCAGGGAAACGGAGAGGGTCTGGAGGAAGCCCCCGCAGCTGCCCATGCCAGATGTGCTTTGGGACGCGGCGCGTTCCACTCTCCAGCACGGGTGTGTTACAAGCCAGGCTTTGAGAAGCAGTTCTTTCATCCGCAGTGCTGGCTCTGCAGCAAAGTAGATCAAGGAACTGATCTGGATTAAAAACCCAGCAAATACAAAGTTATTTTTAGCCCAAATCAGTTTTCTGACTAGTTTACCACAAGACTCCACCAACAGTTGTGCCCACACACCTCAGGAGGGCAATACAATGGTGGGAAGAAACAAGGCTGGGGGAGGCAAGAGGAAACTGTTTAAACCTGTATTACTGCTTAGAGAAATGCTCATCAGATGTCCCAGGGTCACTCAGTAACAAAGTGAGTTATTCTGCTTTCTCTTTTCAGGCTGACACTTGCCGGCTTGGCTGGTCTCCCTCTGCCTGCAGATTTCTCCCTCTTTGACCATGTGCTGAACCAAGAGTACCCAGCAATACAATACCACACGCTTCAGTTTACCCCTGTGCTCTCCTTTCCCCAGCCATACTCTTTACCAGCCTGTCTTTCATGAGTGCCAGTCTATAGACATCTCAGCAAAGCACTCCCTGCCAGGTGTATAGGAGAGAAACCTACACTGTAATTCTGTGATTGTCCTAAATAAATGAACGGACTGTGTAATTTAGCTATTCCTTGCCAACCGTACTGTGCAACTCTTAGGATGATCTTAAGCAGTTTCTTTGCATTCATAATAGAATCTTTGCCACCTGTTCTGATGCACAAGATGCGGGTAATTAGCCTGCATGTTGTTCTTAAGCACAACACAGGGGCATATTGCTCTGCTCATAATCCGCTTATTCCCATCTTGAGGAAAAGTCTATGCTCCCTTCCCCCAGTGCCAAGTTATTCCCATCAGGCAGCCAGCACCAGTGTTTGTTGAGGCCTTGGGTGGTGGTTGTTTTTCTTCCTGTTCTGTGCTGTTTGATGTAGCATAACATACAGTGTCTCCAAAACTAGATACTGCTGTCTTCCTGGCTCGCTTTACTTGCAGAGACCATGACCTCTTTGTCTGAATCTGTCCTCAAGACTGATAAAGATTTCTAACGGGTTTCTCTTTGTTCTCCAAAAGGTATTTATTTGACTTCTTGTACTTTTTTTCCCCACCCCTTACAGTGAGCTGGACTATTATGACTCTCCCAGTGTCAATGCCAGGTGCCAGAAGATCTGTGATCAGTGGGATAATCTGGGTGCCCTAACCCAGAAACGTAGAGAAGCCTTGGAGGTGAGACATGTTACAAATTGGACCTTTGGGATTACTTGGGTAGGTCATTTGTGGGAAGCAAGCTGCAGTGGACACAAGCAACCAGTATCAGCAGTTTTGTGCACTCCTAGAACATCTCAGACTGTAAATAAACACTACATTTCAGTATGTTTTGCCTGCTTTTCCCCTTCCAGCCCAATTATGGTGCCATTCATTTGCTTAGGCTATTGATTTTTTTTCTACTTTTCTGTGTTTTGTAATTTTGTTTTGCTTGAAAAGACTGTCCTTGTTTTGTTTTATTTCAAAGGACCTCAGATTTTTCCCTCAGAGGAAAAAAAACATCCTGTGTGTAATCTCTTAACAGAAGAGACTTTTACTGTAGTGCTGTCCTGGGAGCACCAAGGAGGTCTGAAAGGAAGGAGCAGCTCAGACAACCCACATATCTATGTGATTATTCTTCTCTAACCATCTTTCTCGATTTTGTTTCTTTTTTTGTGCATGCCCAGAGGACAGAGAAGCTACTGGAAACAATTGACCAGTTGTACCTGGAATATGCCAAACGAGCTGCCCCTTTCAATAACTGGATGGAAGGGGCCATGGAGGACCTGCAGGACACGTTCATTGTTCACACCATTGAGGAGATTCAGGTACAGAGGAGTCATTTGCACCAGTCAGGCTGGAATAGAGAGAAGTTGGGGGTCACCTGGATTCCTAGTGGTGCCAAATTTGTAGGTCATGATTTGGTACTTCTTCTCTAGTGAGTGAGCCTTAGTAAGAGAAGCAAAAAGGAGGATGTTTTTTCCTTTATTTTCTCCAAAAACCTGGATCTGAATAGGTATGAAATGTGCTTACGCCATCCTAGCTAGACACAAAAAACTGAAAGTGGATTTTTCAGCATAACTCTAGATAGAGTCTTATTAATGAAAGCCTGAAATTGAGAGACTCTTAGGGTCTTGTGGGGGTTTTTTAACCCACATGACCAAAGCTTAGTGCTGCTCAGAGGTTCTGCAGATCAATTGTTCCATGTAATGTCACGTCCAGGTCATTTGGTTCTATGTGCTAGGGTGTGCTGTAATGGCAATTGTTGAGCTGCCAGCTGGGTTTTGGTGCTGAGCACAAGAAAAATCAGAATTGTCCACTTTGGTGGTGGATTACCATTTGAAGCTAAAGTCTTCTGGCCTCCTGCAAGACAACAGAGAAAATATCTCAGTTTTCCCTCTTCCGAAAAGGTGTTATAAAAGCAACTTGAGGTATCTACAGGTAATTTTCAGACCTTTGAGAGCAGGAATTACTCTTCCGTGGGTTGCAGTGGGGTCTTCTATTTCTCCTGCTTGATGAGCTCATGAAAGGAATCCAAGTCAGCTCTTTGCAGGAGTAGCTGACAACAACGTGGCCATCAGTGAGGCAGTGAATGGGAGACCAGCGGGGAACACTATGGAGCCTGGGGGTGGAGGGGTAGTGAAAGAGCCCTAGTCTGCTATCAGCTCTGTTACTGAGCTGCTACTTGTTTTTTCCAGCCTTCTCTCCTGAAAAAAGGCATTTGTTAAGTCTTTCATAATGCGGAACAAATCTGAACAGCATTTAAATACTTCCAGCATCTCTTTGTGACTGTTTGCACTATCTTTCCCAGCCCCCCAGACTTGCATTACATCTCTATGGCCACTGCAGCAGCTGCAAAATTGTGAGTCACCATGTAGGGAAGCAATTTTACAAAAAAGTAGTTACAGTGTGTATGTTGTAAGAGTGGTCAATCATGCTGTTTACTTTCATTCCCTCTTCTGTCCACACTGTTCCCTCAATTTTCCCCACACATGCCTCTCTGTCCCCCATTTGTTTTGC